CATGACAGGTACTTCAGCTGCAATATTACTGGATAATCATGTTTAATGTACCTGCAAATGAAATTTGTTAGCAGCCTGGCAGCTGCATGCAAGGATACAAGTCAGCTAATTGCAGTCTTCAGGGAACAAGAATAAAATAATCTTGAATTTTTTCATAATAGGTTTTTCCCCCATTTAACTTGCACTTTGAAGCAGTTTTCATTGTTTTTATGAAGATCCTATTTGAATACCGTGTAACTAATCACAATGCTATCAGGGCTTATCAGTTAGCTAACACTTAGTCAATATGACTTTTAAAATTTTCTCTTGAAATGGATTATTAGTTTTTAGAAAGCTTTTCAGGGTTGTGCATGCACAGTATTGTCTCTAGAACTTGAATGAACATGATGAAGTCTAATTTTTTATTCTTAGTTTAACATAAATTCTGTTTTCCATAGTTTTGAGAATACATTTCTTTGAAGCATGTGTGGAGCACATGTATTCTACCACTTTCTTTTGTTATTCAGAATCTACAAACAGCAAAATATTTACCCTCTTTAGAAATATCGTTTAAAACCACCATTTTTTCAGTACTTACCGTTACAAAAGTCACCTCATCGGGTTCCTCCACTTCCTTTATCGTTTTCTCCAGAATGTCCTTTGCCGAGTCGATGCTCTCTTGGAAAGTGACTAATTGGTCATAGAGCTGCTCCAGTTTGAATTTTTTCTCATCCTCCATCTTTTGCGACATCTCATTGTACTGCTCCAAAATGGTCTTCATCATCTCATCATTCTGCTCCTCCAGGCTCTGCTCAGATTTGGTGCAATTTTCCTGCATTTTACACACAGCGATTTAAAGATAAACTGAGAAAAAGCCATGAAAATGGATAAATCCTTGATAAATTTAGCATTGCTGTAATACCAGTCCTTGCTCAAACCGCCCATATTTAGTCCTCTTATTCAGTTACACAGCATAAATTAGGAATATTTTAAATGCTCAGATTACTCAGCGCAACACCCCCATGACACGATGTAAAAACAAAGACTTGTTTGTAATTAAAATTAATTTCTGTAATTAACATAGCAATCGTTTTACAGTTTAAAAGAGAACAGGCAAAACCACTTGTGTCAATTCGAGTCAAGCATAACTCGGAAGACAAAAGAGGCTGGTAACAGCTACTAATTCTAAGATTAGCCTACACCAAAAATAAAACCATTAGAAGTTCACTGGACCATTCAGAAATTGTGTGCTGTATTTTGCCAGCACCACAGCAAATCATGCAAGCACATACAGTAACACTTTAGCAAGCATGATAAAAATAGGTATTGTAGAAAGATGAATTCTTGTTAAAGCACACAAGAAAACACCAAAGAAGTCAGAGGAAGAGATACTCATTAGAAAGAGGTGAAAATGACAACGTGGTGATGAGAACATGATATCTTATTGCAGTAGTAAGTCACTGTGCAGCTGGGCAAAAGGTGTTTTTTTTTCCACAACTAAATTGTCTTCTTGTATTGTAGTTACGGATAAATCTTTAGATTTAGCAAAATTGGTTATCTCCTATCAGTTGTTAGAAATTTGTCATTTGTTCTATAATTTTTAAATTACTCCTTGTAAAAAAACACACACAAACTCTTGTGAAGGCTTTTCTATAAATGTTCTGGTACAATACTAGTCAGAATTAGATGAGAATTAGAAAACTTAAAAAAGCATTGCTCCACTATTTGCAATAAAAGCAATAGTAATATAAAATATGTAACTCACCTCTCCTGAGTCAATAATTGGTGAAAGGTTTTCTTAACAATTACAGCACGGATTTTTTTTTGAAAGGTTTCTACCAACTTTTTATACCACAATGGTGCAATTTTCACCCATTCCTTGCAAATTCCTTGTTTGGAGAATCTTGATGGCCACACTTCTGTCAAGCCAGGACTTGAATAACACAACTGAATGACAATCACTTTCAGTTTGTTAATCCACTCCAGCATACCTTTGGCCTTGTGCTTTTGGGCACTGTCCTTCTGAAAGGTGAATATTCATCCCAGTTTTAGGTCTTTAGCAAACTGTAGCAGCTTTTCCTCCTTTTGTAATTTGTCATTTTTAATATTTTTGGATGTGTAATTTGTTCCACTCATTTCCCCCTCAGTGTTGATGATCTTCCCAGTCCCTGCTGATGAGAAGCAGCCCCCCCAAATTGTGCTGCTTTCATGCCTGGCAATAGGGATGAAGTTGACTGGGTGATGTGCCAGATGTAATATTTTCATTTGTAACTTTTTTGCCTTAATTTTGTTATCTTGCCCATCTGACCACAAATCATTTTGCCATCTTTGCAGTTTAACAAAAATATGGCCAGCAGCCATATCAGTTTGCAACTGGCAACACACTGAAGCTAAGCAGGTGTGAGCCTGGCCAGTAACTGGATGGGAGGCCTCCTGGGAAAAACTAAGGTTGGTGCTGGAAGAGGTTGATGGGGACACTATACTGTAAAAAGGCACTGTCCTTCAGATGAGACGTCAAACAGAAGTCCTGATTCTTAGTCAGGACTTTTTAAGTCATTTAAAATCACAGGGCGTTTCTCCAAAAGAGTAGGGGTGTAACCCTGGTGTTCTAGCCAAACTTCCCATGGTTTACTAATAAACCCCATATAAATTGGCTTTATCACACTGAGGAGAGTGTACTGGCACACTATGGCCTTACAGGTAAAGGGGACTTCCCTCCATGACCACTAATGTGTAGCACCCATCTGGATGAAAATACAATGGCAGTTCACCACATACCAGCTATCTGTGGGGAGGACAACAGAGTGATGAAGCCAATTCATAGATGGGGATTATAAGGAAGTCAGGGCCAGGGGGTAATTTTATTCTCTGGAGAAACACCCCTACTCTTTTCAATAAAATGTAAGATTGAGCTTTCATTCTGATTATCATTAGGTTTACCAATAACAATTAAAAATACAACTTTTTCCTACCATCTCCTAGTATTTTCTATTAATAATGCAAGGATGGTCCTTAAGATCAGGTCAGCAGCTATCCATCATAAAATACAACATAACAGCAAAGGACAAGAACTCTGTCAATAAAAAAAGACCAGGCTGGCCGCTTCCACTGACCATCTTTGGGTCAGCACTAGTTCTTACCTCCACTGTATTGAATGCCAGTTCCAGTTCTGACACCAAATCCTCAATCTTTTCTGTGCGTCCTTGCAATTCTGCGATCCACTCAGTCAGCTTAAACTGAAAGGGAGGTAGACACTGATGAGGATGAAGGGCACTGCTCAGGCAGACAAGCAAATATGACTACATATTAAAGGGCCAGTCTCAGTGATTTTGTCAAACATGGGTATACATATCACTCATTTTTCACCAGCACGGAGGTACAGTATGGCTCTTGATGCATCAAAAACAACAACAACAAATAAATTGCTGATAACTTGGATTTTAATAGCCAATGAGAACAGGCGATTACTAAGGACTTCATTGTATGTACTTCAGTCACCAACTTGGCATTCTTGTTGCATGTGTCCTCTGCATTTGAAATATGTGATCTGTGGCCTCTTCCCTGGAGGGGATAGTTCAATACATTGTGGTTTCAATGATGGATCACTCAATGACAGCACTGCAAGACCAGAGATGCTTTTCAAGTCACAGAGGTTTATGTGGTAATCCCAGGGCCCTGGTGGGTTTAAACACTCCAAGATTTAGATAATCCCTGGAAAGCAGTGTGCCACTACTTGGGAAGCCACAATCAAGCTGCTGAATGACAAACCCCAGTTTGAAATGGCAGTCTCTGCACTACAGAGCCCACCCTGCGGTTTACACCATGTCGTAATGAGAGATGCCATCTGGGAACGTTTCATGGGTAAATTAAATAAATGATGATTTGCATCGCATGCTTTGAATATTTGGTGTTTGGAATTGTAAAGCAGCTTTCTGCACAAATGTTTCTATTCAAAGAAATTGTTTTAAGTAATCACTTTAAGTGTCCTTGTTTTAACTGAATTTAGCACCAGTGTAAATTCCAGTAAATGAAACACTGCCACAGCATGTAACAGAGATCATGTCTGTCAGCATGAATCTTCTTTTAAATGCATTTTATAGTATTTAGCTGTATAAAATACCATGACATAGGTTAATTGCCTTCTATGAAAATTGGCCCTAGTGTGAGAGTGTACGTGTCTTCTCTGCTATGGACTTGTGTCTCATCAAGAGTGAACCCCGTCTTGCACCCGTTGCTTGCTGGGATAGGCTACGGCACCCCCGCTACCCTGAATTAGAAGACGCGATTAGAAAATGGATGGATGGAATAATTAGGTTCTATGTAATACAATTACCCTGGCTCAGGGGTCCCCAATCCTGGTCCTGGAAACCAACATACCTGATTTCTTTGAATTGAAGCTGTAACTGAACTAAAAAGCTGCATAACTGGAACATTTGTAAGTTTTGGTTTCTACTCAAAGATAAGTATTTTATTTATGAAATGCAGTAATCAAAAGGAAATCTCCAACACGTTCGAGAGTGAAACAGTTAAAATTAATCCCATTAATACAGTGGGTCAATTAAGAGTTCAAATGGACCAAAAACCAGCAAGAGCACTGTAGGCCTCCAGGCAGAATTCCTGTCCTCACTGACTTTAACCCAGTTAAACTTGTTGTCCCCCAGCCAATATCACTTATCTAAAGACAGCCCAGACTATAATCAGCGAAATAAGCACAATATGACTCAACTTGCACTCCAAATAATTGCCTTTACTGATTGAACCACTTGGGAGCCCAAATGTGCATTTAACAGAAGAAATATTAATGAAAATACTGAACCTGCTGCAAGCTGCAGCTACAGTACATATCAGACCAGCTTCTAATTCTGCACTTTGTGAAATGCTGTATTAACCACTAATTGTGCAACATCACAATTCACTTGAAAAATAATGTCTCAGTAACAAATTAAATGTTAAATACTGTACACTCCTAGGCCATTTGCTAACTGAATGTAATTTAGAATACAATTCCATTCATACCTGATACCTTATCATCTGTTTTGCCCAATGAATCTAATGTTCTTCTTTGAAAGGTCTGAAAAACATTCATAGCATCTGGATGGAAAACCGTAGGAAGCCCTTTTCAGCACGTGTTTTTATCATGGAGTAGGTACAATTTCTATTTCATACTATTCCTTGCTCTGTCAACTGTAAACATACCTTTCAACCCCTGCTGATTAATTAAGGAAAACATATCTATTTAATAATGAATGTTTTGGCTAAAATTCCTTCCGCAACTTTCCAACCAAAGGCTGGTATTCTTCAATAATTCTGAATAATACCAGCTTTTATGTCCTATAATGCACTATAGACAAGCATACATTACCTGGAGATAAACGTAAGATTCCTAGTTGCATCAAAGAATAGGAGTACATAGAAGGCAGACTTTTCACGTTTTTTTATGCTGACAGTGATGGCAAAGACAGCTGTTAAAAAAATACTGCATGACTCAGAACCATGACGCACCCAGAATGGCTGACACTGTCAAAGTCCCTGAAGACATGCTGAGTGATATTTCAGATGTTCCTCCCCTTGTGGGCAGCAAAAAATTACATAGTACGTTTTGTACTTTGAACCTCCATCTGAACAATGAGCATGGATAATTTCAACAGAATTTCATACAAGCACTTGGAAAATTCTAATGGCTGTAAAACCTTTAAGAAAAAAAATATGAATGAGGAGCATTTACATTGTCACTTCTAAACTCTACACAAACAAGAAAACACGCCATGTTGCTCTATGTCTTTAAGGCATGATGGCAGACAGGATATTTATAAACCTTTTGACTAGAGAACACCAACTGTTTGGTCCCTCTAGTCCCCTCAGGCCAGAGGAAGGACAGGCAATTTAAAAAAAACAAATCTGCTCTGGCTCCACAGTCTCAGCAACTCCCCTGAACTATTATTTACTATCTACACCACCACTATAAAGATCACCATTGTGTACGGTATCCAAGGGTTTTTATAGGCTGCAGGCACAAACTCAGACTCTGTAAGTGGCAATCCTTATTAGTGATTGATCAAATAAACAAGTAATTTGGTCAGTGAAGTTAGTTCATTTTTGCAGTCAGAAAAGTTTAATTGCAAATAATCTGAAAATTATGCCTGTTTCTTTTAAGGAATCACCTGGAATTGATCATAGTGAAATGACAAGTTTTTAGAAATGATTAATTCAGGGCTGGAGGTGACTCTGCTATGCTCCGAAATCCAAGTACTGTACATGAGCACATAGTTAATTTATACAGTATATATACTGTATATACACAAGATTATACTGTATATATTAAATGTTTTATTGTTTCCAGATTTCAGGATATAGTAGACTGAATTCAAATTAGTTTCAAGCAACATTTTTTCAGCTATTCACTCACATATAGTATATTAATTCAATCTAAAGAACAGGTTTACAGTACATTGTTTTGATTGATTGGAAACAATGCAATCTACTTCTATTTATTTTAATTACACTCTATGACACAACTGTACAGTATGTCTGAAGTAAGTGAATCTACAGTCAATACTGTACTAAACGAATGCGGTCAGAGGTGCTGTCCTTATACCTCATTTATTATTCTGAATTATAATGATTAACAGTAATATAGAGTTGTGACTAAAAGACAAAATCTCCAGTCCATAACAATTAATAAAAGTGATTTGAACAATCACAGAAATAACTTGAGTTTTGTGTGGAAACATAATAATTCCTTACTGATATTACACATTCTAAAAAAACATTACTGTTCGACACAGATATATTTATCATAAACAAATTACTTTAAAGAAAGAACAATTTCTGTAATTATGAAGTCCAATAATTGCTCATACAAATTAATCTTAAAGCGCTATAAAAGGTATTAAGGTTTTCACAATTAAATGGCTATTAGAATGACAAAATATTAAACTGTAAAAACAATTAAGATAGCTTATACAAGTAATTAGGCTGTCTATTCAAAAATACACGTTTATTAATTAGTTTATATTTATTATTAACTGATTTAAAGAAGCCGCTCATGCTCATTGTATTAGCTACATTTTCCATATAACAATTTGTACCAGTTTCAATAATTCAAAGGAGAATGTTTTTAAATTGAGTTTCAAAGTATTTTCCTATATTTGTAGAATGTATTACAGAATGAACATTTGTTATGTTGGCCCCAGGTTCAAATCAAGTGTGGTTGCTAAGAAACTAACAGAAGAAGAAGCAAATGCAGAAGGAAGCAATCAGCCTGATATTTGAAATGATTAAACTGAAAACAGGTCTTATTATATCTTTCTTTACATAATTTGATTAGTATAAAACCTACTGAAAATGAATTTCTGAAGTTATATTGAACAAAGAATGTTCGCTGTGTAGATATGTAGACTCGAACTTTGTAAAAAATAATTAATTTCATCATTAGTTTTAGAGGCAGTCTTCTAAAACAGCAAGTCCTTTCCTGATTCCTGTTGTTCAAACTCTATCAAACATATTCACAACTTGATCTGTACCTTTACTGAACTGCAGAAATGAGACTTTTGGTATTAGCACAACAACATGGTTACCTGTATTTGCATTTAGAAAGGTGTGTCCATTCTGGTGCTGCATATTTAAGTTTCTAGAAAATCGAGAGAAATGGATGATTTGAGCAGCTATAATTCAGCTCAAGACGGCATCTAGTCTTATTTTTTCACCTCACTGACGCTCAATTGCTCAAGAGCAACAATAATAATTACCACAAAAATATTCATCCTATATTGTATGATGCCACAAAGAACGTTGTCCTTGAAGGATGGTACTTGCCTAAAGAGTCAATCAAATTATTGATGCTTTTGTCTGTATTAGGATGGCTGCCAGAGAATGCCAGGACTCAAGATGGCGTCAAGAGGAAATTGCTATAACAGGGAAGAGCTGTGTCCCCTGTACCAGCCTATGTAAATTGCCTATTGAGCCAGCAGAAGAGCCTGACAGAAAGACTAAAGACCGAAGAAAGAAGCTGAACATATTACAAACCTGGAAAAGGGCATTTTGTGTTTCAATAAAATACTGTTAAACTGCCAGATGGCCTACGGGTGTGTCTGTGTCGGGTCATGCCTAAATTTATGGCCATGTGATGACTGTACCCCCCGCAGCATCACAGTTCCCATGTAAAACCATAACAACAACTTTAGTTATATTTCTGAAATGTTTTCAATATGTCAATTTACAGTGCCATACTGTACATATAATTTAATCGAAATGATTATGTTTTTCATGCTGTCCTGGGAAGGGATAAAGTATTTTAAATTGAATTGAAAAACTCTGTAATTTAAATTCATAACACAAGTTACACATGACTCCCACATTCATTTTGCAAATATCACCATGTATTTAGGCTGTTATATAAAAATGTAGTCAACTATAACACTGAATTTTTCAATAAGATAATCATAAAGATTCCAATATAATTGGAGAAGCAATTTAAAAGGCAAAAAAAAATGTTAGGATATACAGTTAAAAGCATAGAATTAAATCAAGGTTTAAAACTGTATAATGTTCTATTAAGTTAGAATATTATGTATAGTTTTGGTCACCACATTGTAGAAAACGGGTGACATGGTAGTGCTGTGGGTAGCATTGCTGCCTCACAGCGTTGGGGACCTGGGTTCGATTGAGTGCTATCTGCATTAAGTTTGTTTGTTCTCACCTTGTTTGTGTGGGTTTCCACCGGGTGCTCCGGTTTCATCCCACAGTCCAAAGACATACTGGTAAGTTAAAAGGCTTCTGGGAAAATTGACCCTGGTGTGAGTGTGTTTGTGTATGCTTGTGTCTGTGTGTGCCCTGCAATGGACTGAAGTCTCATCCAGGGTGTATCCTGCCTTGTCCCAATTGCTTGCCGGGATAGGCTCCAGCTCCCCTGCGACCCTGTATTGGATAAAGTGGTTAGAAAATGGATAGATGGTTGGATTTGATCCTGGATAAGAGTGGCTGCAAATAAAATACTAAAGATATTTTAATACTTTACACAATCTAAATTCATTTTCAAAGCTTACCTTTATGTCATCATATGCTTTATTCAATGGAGACACATTGTGGTCTTGATGGTCACCAAAGAGCTTGTCTATAGCTGAAATCGGGCACCTGCAGGTCACACAGAATGTGTCTAACAAAGGTTTTTTTGGCTCCATTTGGGACAGTTCAACTTCTGACATTGGAGTTCCCCCCAAAGCTTCAATGATCTCATAGCCTTCTTCAACCACTTCTTGAGCAGGCAAATCTCGATCCACAAAGTCAGACCCCTGGTCATGGTGTTTCCCTGTGTCTTCACAAATACATTCCCTGTCCCTGATCAGTTCAGTTTCAGGTGCTGCAAAATCCTCTTGCACCTCTTGCTGAGTGACCATTTCATAATCCAAGGTTTCAGCAGTTTCTCCATCATGTTCACCGTATGGTTCCTGATACAGTTCTGGCTCTAAAGGTTCACATTCCTTGCCAAGTTGTGAGAGATCCTCACATGGTGCCATGCTCCTAAGAGGAGCTCCTCTACCCAAATTTTGAAATGCTTTGTCTTCTACATCCTCCTGCTCTTCTGATACAATTTCATGTTTTTCTTGTATTCCTTCTCTTGCAGATTTTAAAGAGCTTATGGTTTCCTGCTCTTCAGTTTTCATTACGATCTCTGATCCAGTAGTGGACAGATAGGCACTATCCCATTCTTGAGCACTATGTATTTCTTCACTTTTCTTAACCTCTTCCTCATGGGATTTCTCAGTGGACTTTGTCCATGTGTCACTGTCTTCTATGCTGTGACTGAGCTGCTGAAGAGTTTCATCTACCTTTTCTAAAATAACTTCTTTACTTTCACTATTGTCTGAGGTCAAAGAAACTTCAGTTTCCATAGCAGCTTTGTCTAGATGCGTCAGTTCTGGCTCAGAGCTTCCTTCACATTCACTTACATGGATATCTTGTACTGCTTGATCTACTCTATCATCTATTTCAAAAACTGACGAATCGTTACGTTCTTCCTCTGCTGGACCTGTGTAAATATCTTCTGGGGTCTCAATTAAATCCTCACCTCTTACAATGCCTTCTTTTTTACTTCCGGCACTCTCAGTCCTATCACGTTCACTCATTGATACCTCCTTTTCAATAACGATTTCCTCTTCAATCTTCTCAGAGTCTTGAGCAATCAATGTTTCATTAAGCATCCCACTGTCTAGAGGTTCTCCACACTCCACAGCAGGAGTGCTTCCAGTCTCATAAAAAACAGCAGCATTTTCCTCTTTCTGTTTTTCCACTGGTTCTATTTCATCTTCTTCTACGGCTTTCTTAAGACTCTTTTTGTTGTATCTTTCTACTTCCTCTTCTGGGACTGTTTCTTCATCACTAAACACAGGCTGGAATTCTAAATCTTCAGATATTTCCTCAGACATGGCAATAAATTGTTCACTTTCTTCAAATGGAGACAGTTCAGATCTAATTCTGGATGATTCTATTCTTGTTTCAGTTTTCTGAGTGTTATCTTCCATTCTTTGTGTAATGTCACCAGTGAGGACAAATGCACTTTGCCATGTTTTTCCTGCTTCATCTTCTTGATCTTCATCAGGTTGTGGCTCATCTGACCCCTGTGGAACATCGTCTATTAAAATGTATTTTTCAAAGTATGCACCTGAGTTATCATCAGAGTCAGACAACCTCCTTGGTAATATCCTCTCAGAAGTAACACTCTCTTCATCAGAGGGCTCACTGTCATCTTTCTTCTTATCTCCTGCTGCTTGCTCGTATAGATCTGTATAAAGAAACGACATAGCTGGAGGCTCCTCAAAAAGGAAAGGATCAATGTTTTTTGAAGTTGCTGGATAATAATAGCAGCGTGTCAGAGTCTCCTCTTCAGTGCTAAACAAAGCTGTACCACTTTTTTTGGGTGGAGATTCCAACTTTAGAACCTTATCTGCTTTGGTTGGCATTTCTTCCTCTACAATGTGCTTATTCATGGAACAAACCTCTGGCACATGGGCACCCATACCATAAAATACTTCGTCTAAGTGTTCGCTTGCTATTTCTACATCTAGAAACACAAACTCTGGGTCTTCAGATTCTGATACACTCTTGGATGCTTGCTCCTTGTTTTCTGGCTCCTCACTAGTCTCGTTTGTTTTTGTTTCATTTATTGCCTCTTTAGGGTTGATATTTGAGACATGGTCATCTACCAACGTAAACTTCTCAAAATAATCCAGGTCACCATTCCCATTCTTTGATTTAGCGAGTGAAGTCTGAGATGATTCAGAAATTGCAGGACTGATGTTCGTACTTTTTTCAATATTCAAGGGTTCTGTTTCCCTTAACTGTTCGGTTTCCTTTCTTTCAGATTCTACAATCTTTTTTTCACTTTCCACTTTCTTCTCTTGATCAATTTCTTTTTCACTTATGGATGTTTCACTTATGGGTGTTTCTTCTTCCTCTGTCACTTCTAGTAGTACTTTTGATTTAATAAGTGGGCTTTCCTCCAGATAAAACAGATTATCTGGCATATAAATGCTTTCCTCTTCATCAACCATCAAAATTTTGGGAGGAACAATAATGTTTAATATTTCGTAGCCTTCAGAGACAATGCTGAACAATTCTTTCTCACTATTTGGGTCTTCTTTTTGTTCAGTGGGTTCATCACTTTTTAATTTTTGTTCTGATCTCACATTAGGATTTTCATCTCTTCTTAGATTAGGAGAGACGGTTTCGGCCCCTGGAGATGTAAGAAAGCCAGGAACCTCTGTTAGCACTTGTTTCTCATTTCCACCAGTTAGGAATTGTGGATTTTCACTCTGGGGTTGATCCCTAGCTGTACTAGACGAGTACAAGAGAGGGACTGGATTATGCAAAGATGGATCTTTCTTGGGATTGCCTGAAAATTCCAAAACTGATGGCTCAGAAAGAGATCTTGGGTTTGATTCTGGAATTCCAGATATTTCTGTTGTAGATTCCAGTTTTGGCAGACTAGATTTTGTAGAGGAAAATGAAGGCAATTTTTCTTCTGGAGCTCCTTCACCCATACCCTGAGAACTAGCTTCTTTTTTAATCATATTTCCTTTTTCTACTGGTTTAGAAGTTACTGGTGCATGAGGTAATGCTTCTTTAGTCTCTGTCTCTTGCTCTTGCAAAGGATATGGATGAGGATTCCCTGCAAGGACTTGTTTATCTCCTACTGGCATGCCTTGCACCTGCTCAAGTCCTAGCGTTTCTGATGGATAGGGGTGTGGGTTTCTTGTTCTTTGGGACTGACTAGGCAATGGATTTCCCAGGGTCATTGGTTTAGCTGCCACGGGCCTATGTAATAAAGTATCTTCTGGTTCTTGTAAAGGACTTGAATGAGGATTTCCTGTGCTTAACCTTTTAGCTGTAATTCCTGTATGAAGTACTGGTTCATCTTTATTCATTTCTGTTTCTTTATGATGGCTCGAGTGTGGATTCCTTTGAATGACTGGTCTTGATGTCACAGGTACATATGGTATAGGTTCCTCCCCCTTTGTTTCAGGCTCTGTGGGATGGGGCTCTTCTTTACTCAGAAACTTTGAAGTCACAGGAGCATGTGATGAGGATTCTTCACTGTAGAGTTTTGCAACCTTCATAGGTCTTGTGTGAGGGTTACCATTATTTGCTGGTCGAGATATTACAGGTGCATGGGGCACTGGCTCATCCTGGTCAAGTTTTTCTCGGTTTACTCCCACAATGGGATGCGTGGCTATGGGTTTCCTAATGAATTGCTTCATATTATCAGCTCGGCTTCTGCCATTGGTGTCACTCACCCTGTTCCCAAGACTTGCTCTTTTTCTTCTTCTGACTATCTTATCTTCATCCATTATAAAAACAACCTTCCCTGATGAAGACCCAGTGGCTGAGCCCTCCAGGCTGTAAGCATCAGATGTTGTACTAGCCTCTGAGGCCCAGGGTGTTGAACACCTGCTGGAGGCTGTCTCCCAAACAATTCCACTGTCTTCACTTTGGACTGTGACCATAGAAAAGGAGGGGTCCACTGTAATGCACTGGAGCTTCGGCTTTACAGAATGGTCCTGGACAAGATCTTTCAAACTGTGAGAAAAAAAAGAAGAGACTAAATTAAATAAAAATGATATTTACAGTAGACAACATCTTGGTCTTGTGGTTTGCATTGATGCCTCGCAGTACTGGGGCCCTGAGTTCAGTTCTAGACCTGGGCTGCTATCTGCGTGGTGTTTGTATGTTCTCCCTGTGTTTGTGTGGATTTCCTCCCACAGTCCAGAGACAAGCAGGTAGGTTAATTGGCTTCTGGCCCTGGTGTGAAGTGTGTGTCTGTGTGCACCCTGCAATGGACAGGCATCTTGTCCAGGATTTACCTTCCTTACGCCTGTTGCTTGTATAAAAGCCTTGCTTAGGCTCTATTTTCACCCACAACCTTGATATAAAGTGGTTAAAAAGTGGATGGGTAATATACACAGTATAATTCTAAAAGCAAATTTTCTGACAGGAAATAAATTACATTTGGTGATCATATTTGACCTGTTATTTTGGAGGGCATAGCTCTTTAAAGGGTTTCCGACCAGTATCTTTTTTATAACTGGCAATGTGGTCATTAGTGCTGCTGTCTCGCTGTATATTCCTAAGTGTGAAACAAATCCTACATCCAGAAGAATGTCTGTTGCTGTTGCCACTCGCAACTGTTGCTGCAGCTCCCAAGTGATATTATCAAACTGGAAGAGTGGTAAGTTGAGTAGGCTGAGGAATCTTCCTGTGAATAACAATGCCTGTTGCTATCTGGCACCTGTTCTTCAGTGGGAGTTGAATCCATCCTACAGTTTCACAGTATAGAAAGAACTATCTGCCTTAGACAAAAGGCAGGAAGAACACACAATTTTTACCTAAGATATTACTTTGCACATATGAGAATAAGAAAGACTATTTTGAAGTGTATTTCTTTAATGTGTTTGTTTTTTAATGTCTTTTTAAGCTATACTTTGGCTCTATATTTTTATCTTCCATTGTATTATTTTTTGGCATAGAATTCGTAAAAGTGATATTTTGGTATTTTAACAAATGCTTACATTTCACCACAACTGGTAATAAAAGAGGCAACATAACTATTTTTTATACATATCTGATGCCAGTTGCTCTAGTTACGCACCCTTTGTAGTCAGTGTTGCAATGTACACTGGCAGCATGTGTAGCACCACATAGTATGAGGTTGCGTCCTCTTCTGTTTATTTCTGTGCATTACATGCAGTGTAAAAACACACAATTCAGCTATATAACATAATATAAATATATATATATATTAATCACACATCCCAATACGCTGTACCAGCAGCCCTTGTGCCCCCATTTGACATTTGAGGTGTCACACCACATCTCAGATCCTTCATATTTCCACTGAAACCTTTAGTTCAACAACCTTTCAAAGATGAATGACATAGAAACTGCAGAAACAGTAATGTTTACGTCATTAAGTCAAAGAGCTCTACACGCCTGGCAGTCCCTCATACAATGACGTCACAAGATACCATATGACAAAACCGATTAAATCAGAATTCAGTGTGCCGCTATAATGCCTTTAACCAGTATTTATTATTTTGTCAGTTCCTGTTTAGTTTGTTGCTTCTTGAACACACTGTTGATGCTACAACATTAATGGAGGACAGTTACTTCTATTCACTTATTATCAGAAAACTGCTTAATCCTGGCAGAGTCCATCCTGGAAGCACAGGACAAAAATAAGCCACCATCCAGGATGGGACACTGGTATCACTGTACCACATATTTATAAGTTGAAAAATGCTCAATTATGACCACACATTAAAAAACTAAGTTTTCATGAAATTTCAATGTCTTCCTATTGTTATATTTTTAGTACATTAGCATAGTCTGGGGGTAGAGCCAGCCTCTTCAGAGTGTGGCTGAGGTGGAGCTAGTCAGAAACCTGAGGTGCCCTGTAATGAACACAAAACCTATTGGAAAAATATCTATTTATCCACATAAGTTGATTTTTCTATAAAGGAAAATAAAAGTGTATTCAGTCTGCAGAGCGGTTCCATTATTAATGGTACAGTTCCTAAGTGCAGACTGCTAGTACAAGTCTGAACTGTATAAAATATATACAGCATTAACAATTCAATTACAATTTAAAAAATGCAGATGTACAGAAACAGATAACACATTATTGCTATCTATTTTAGGCCTCTTTCTTATGGTTTAAAGTGTACTTTAAAATTAACCAATTAACAGATTATGTAACTAATTAGAAAATAGGTGAATGGATGGTTATTGATTGAACTGTCTCCACTGGTGTCACTTTAGCTGCTTTTATTTGATAAAGCAGGGAAATCTACCGCCTGTGCCAACAGGTAAGGCTAACAATACGGTTGGAGCAAAGCTGAAAATCAGAATTGTGAGTGGATTTGACCTTATAGCTCTGTTGGGGTTTTTTTCTGTTCTAGAAGAAGTAGAATATGATACATTTCAGGGGCCAGGTTGTTTTCCTTAAAGGGGACACTTTTGCAACACTCTTTTTTATTTCTGGGTTAGAAAGAATCGGCACTGATGAGTGCATTTCAAACCACAGTGAAAGTAAAATGTACACAGTAATGTGTAAAACCCCAATTTATGTTACAAAATAGACAAAATCTCCAGGTTTGTGTAGCGACATACTGTATTCTGCGATTTAGAATGAGACAAAAAAAAACAGTGAGGTGAAGCTCCCGTATTACACTGCAAACAACCAGGCTTGTGAATACATCTCTCTTAATCCAGTAGGACTTGTTCCTGACTTTGAGACAGTTTTGCTGATAAGTACTACTTACTGTATATGATAACTCTGCATGCGGTTCACTTTGGAACTTTTCTGCCATGAAATGTCTGTTGCACAACCTGTACTTATTTGCTCGTACATTACTCACTACAGTGACTAGTGAGCAGGAAGGACTGCTTCAGAACACAATTGCACTGACTCTCACCCTCCCCTGTGGCAAGACCAGTGGTTTGCAACAAAATAGAGACCATACAGTACTTTCACAAAGCTCACGATTTTATGCTTTATTCAGAAATTGTAAAATTTTGCGATGCTGTCAAAGAATTTATTTTGCTGAGAGATTTAATAATCAGTCTGAGAAACTGGGACTGCTGCTGTCCTTTAATCCCATAGATCCCAGAACTATTGATAGAACACATTCTTTATCCAAGAATGATTCAGATCTTGGATTTAGCGCTATCACACCTCTTTGAATGTTGCATTAGTCACTTGGAAAAAAAAAGGTTTAGTTCATTAGCCAACTAAACACGTTTTATAGAATTATCCAATGGTTTCAAAGGTCTTCCCTCCTCTGTTTTTCAGTCCATAATTGATTCTTGTAGATGATGTGGTTGTTCCCGTTTCCCGACTTCTTCTTTCTTTGACATCAATGCTTCTTGTGCACACAGGTCAGTTTTGCTACTTCATATCTCTTCCCAAGTTTCTTAATTTGTTCTTAAGGGTAGCAATGACCAAGTCTAAATTCACTGCAGAGGCAAGCTGCATTTCAAGTTACAGGAAGTTATCCGATATTGTTTATAAGTGGAGTAGAAGACTCCCATAACAGTGAGATTAACTATTAATGATTGATCCAATCTGTGTGTTTGACACTCGTCATAAAGCTGGCAATGACTTTCGCATTGTCCAGGAAGCAGGAACTTGACACCTTTATTGTATGTCAGCCAGATCTTTTCAGTTCAAGCAGCTTTTTTGAGGGCTCCAGTCCTTCTGTTTTCTAATGAACATGTATGGTTTTGTACAACTGAACCAGAAAAATGTGTACAACATCTTAACTACAGTATGTCAAAAAGCTCAGCGGGCATTTACACTATGCAAACACAATGAGCTAAAATGAACTTAATTTATCAATACTGTCTCATTACAAAGGAAACGCTAGTGTTCCAAAAAATATTCCTCTGTTGGTATACTGCTTATTTTCGCTTTATGCACATTGAGAACTAAAAATATTCTACAACTGCTTTGCGTATTCTTGCAATTCTCCATCAACAAGTGGAATTTGCCACATTTTCTATCTGAGCTCCCATTAACTTTCTAGAGGCTGAATCTGGCCCATGCTTTTACGATGTTTGTCTGTTGTGTTGATTATGTTTCAACTGCAGAAACTGGCATGGGCCAAAGCAAGTTCTGTATGAATATGTCCTAAGTACAACGTGCAGATAAGCAGAAAAAAATGCATGTTCTAGTTGTGAATATTTGTCATTGTAGGTACAATTAAAAAGCTTTCCATCATCAGGCCAGGTGGGTGTTTTGCAGTTTTAACTACAGGTTCAGTGTAGAGTAGAGGAGTTTACTGCCATATGTACAGTACATGTACATTGGAATTCTTCATTGCGCTGATCTCTCGGGACATACACAGTACAACACCGCACAATGCAGACAGTACATTACAAACAGAATAAATAATAACAGGAACAATAAATGTTATGGAACAAAATTAGTATAAGTGAGAAAAAAAACCATCGTAGATAGTGCAAAAAGTGCATAATGCAGACGTGTATTGAGTTGAGGTTTTGCAGTCAGCTGCTGAGGATGTATGCAGTCTTTTTTACCGTAGTATAAAACCGTATCATCCTGTTCACTCTCATTGCTGTGAAAAATGTTGCCTTTATACTCAGTTGCTAGTTCATTCTAAAGCTTATCTTCCAGGTTTCCTATTGGAGTAGTAACATTACTCGGCAGTGTATACTGAAATGTTGCTGCTGTCACTTTCACCCATTTCGATGGGATTCACTGCAAACCCTTAACTAAAGTATTTTGCTCTAACTACAACACAGTTCCACTATCACTTTGCCGACCTCCAACCTATTATCATGTGTTGTGTTATGCGATTTTGTTTATATCATGCAATATGCTTGCTGAGATCCATAGCAATGCAGAAGGGTATACAGTATCTACAGAGTGACCCTGCAGGCTGTGTTTGGATCTGAATGTAACCTGATATTCTAACCGACCCCATACTGTGAGACCTGCACACATCCATCCATTTTCTAACCTCCTTCTTCCAATTCAGGGTCTTAGGGAAACCGGAGCCTATCCCAAGAAGCAGGGGGCACAAGGCAGAGTACAGTACACCCTAGATGGGATGTCAGTTTAGAAAACATAAAACTTATCTGAACTAATTGCTTTTCAAAATCTTTTGTACTTTTTGTTTTGGAAAGCTTTCAAGAACCTTTAAATTAGTTGAAAGGGACAAAACTGAGTTTTGTAAGAACTCGGGGTCACGGGGGAGCTGGAGCCTATCCCAGCAAGCAACAGGCGTAAGGTGGACACACCCTCACTCTTAGGCCCTATTTTACCAGCAGCCACCTAACCTACCTTATCTGGAGAAAACTGCAAACATAGAGAGAACATACAAACTCCATACAGATAGCACCCCATTTCCAGAACTGAACCTAGGGGCCCAGCTCTGCAAAGCAGCAATGCTAACCACTGCACCATCGTGCTGCCCACCTCCAGACATTCATGCAGTGTTTGTTCCAATGTATTGTACTGGGAATTTTTGCAAAGGATTGTGTCACTCAGGCTCTATTAATTAGCAAGTTATTTATGTACCACTTTGAAATTAATAATAAAAGCAAGTAACACACATATCTAACCTTTGCACTGGGTATATCTCCTGCAAATCTCCTCCTAGCACTGCCCCTGAGTATAGCATTTGATTAACTCCCACACTGATGAGACATTAAGACTGCAGTAAACTTGCATCACATTCATACTATAAAGTACCACTTGGGAAATTACTCTACTCCATATATTACATACAATATATCACTTAATAAAACAAAGATATGTTGGTATTTTCGGTTTTCTTTGGATGGCTAGTATTGTAAATTAAGAGAAAGGCAAACGATGTTCATACAGGCAGTTGGAAATTGAACCAAAGAATCCATCAATCTGAGGCAGAGCTGTCCATCACTTTGTTGTAGATGCCCAGTGTGTCTATCGATTTTCATTGCAACTCATCTTACTGACCTTTATTAACTCAGTACTGATTAAATAGGACCCATTCAACAGTTTCTTTCAGCTCTTTGAGAGCTGCTGCTTTAAAGAGATCTACGGTAGAAACTCTGCAGACACACTAGCTCTCCTGAACTAGGTTTGGACAGTCGTGCTTTAAGATAAGATCACTATACTGGCTATATAAAATTTCTTGCATTAGGAATTTTTCTTTTCGCATACTCCAACTTGCTCTCCATGAGAGACACAGACAGGGAGAGAGGCTTGGGGTCAGAGTGCAGGCTCAGCCATTTTTACGATGCCTCTGGAGCAGTTGGGGTTAAGGGCCTTGCTCAGGGGCCCAACAGAGTAGGATTCCTCTGCCGGCCGCGGGATACGAACCGGCAACCTTCCAGCCACAGGCGCAGATCCTTAACCACCTTACCGCACCACCCTTTTTAACTTTATTAAATTTTAGACTGATGGCTTTGTTAAATTTATAGATGGCTTGACAGTTCTAATTTTTCAGGTGGTTATCTGCGTCAGCATGCGTAGGCTGCAAAGGATCAAGTAATAGTTCTATTCCATGCTGAAAAGAGAAGAAAGAAAACAGAATGTTTCGGCTGTCAAGCCTTCTCCTTCTTCTGTGGAAACTCCACACTTGAAGCGTTGTGTTTTCTTCTCTTTTTAGCATGGAATAAACGTATTACTTATTTCTAATTCTTTACTTGTCATACAGTTCCGTATAAGTTAGGCTGTTAAACCTGATTTGCTCTGATAGAAAGAAGACCTTTGGATCACACCATCAAAACCTTCAAGCCAGGAGCATGAACACTTTCTGAAATGATCTGTATCTTTAGTATCTTTAGAGTTTTGTCTCGTTCAACTAACTGAAGGATTCTTGAAAGCTTACACAAATGTAAAAAATATTTTTTTAATGCAATCGGTTTAGGTAACTTTTATGCCTGGTGTTTCAATCCAGAAAACGAAATAATTTGCTCACAATACGTCTGGTAAATGTATGATCAACCAATATAAAGGCTGCGGTTCAAAGGTTAAAAAGAATTAGGTAAACTCAAATCTATAAATAATCTGGTAGCACCACCAACCTCGATTGGCACACCACTTTATATTTGATTTCAAGTGCCGAGAATGGAATGTGACTTTGGTAGGAGGGGCTCAAACGACGTCGCGTGAAACTGGCATCTTCGCTTCTTCGACTTTAAATAGAAAACCAGCCAATGTCATCGCTTTGTACACACATAGTAAATAAATCCAGCATTAAGATAAAATATATTCAATCACAGTTAAATCACTGGAAATAACAGTACACTCCAGTTTAAATATGGCTTCTGTTTGAATCTGGAAATAAAAACATTCTGAACAAACATCGTTACCTGTTACGGAGCTCCTCCGCTTCCTCGCTGTCCAGCACACCTGCTTCACCCGAGGTGTCATCAGTCGGGAATGAGATCTCAGGCTCGATTTTATCACATTCGTCCGGTAAACAAGGCTCCATCTTGCACTTTGTATTTTTGATCTATCTTGCCCCTTAATCCTCCAGAGAGTCACTCAGACTCCTTGTCATTCCAGTGGGAGCAGATTCCCTGACTCAGGGGGGTCTTTAAATAGAAATGTAGTTACAGAGGACAGTTTGGTGTATCCCTGCCCTGAGGTGTAGGCGGTCACGTGTCACTGGGTCTCACTGCCCTCTAAGTTAAGGATTTAAATGACTTTTAGAAAATATAGGGGGGCTCTCTGAAACATAACTTTGGAGTACAAGCATTATAGTTCTTAACTTAAAATTTAGAATTCTGTATGCGGTCATGCGGTTTAACTTATTTAGATCTTCCGCCGACCAAGTTTTTAGCTCCAGGGTTAGAAAGCTCGGCTTTTGTTTCCCTCTCATATGATGAACATGAACTGTAAAGGTCTGAGAAGTCTTCTAAAAATTTAGAAGCTATATCTGTTTTCTGGTACTATGCACTCCAATTAAATTGAGACAAACCATGCATATGAGCAATTCCAAGATCCAATTTACCCGTTTAAACGTTGAATTGTAAGCACTATTCATCAGTAAATACAAACGTCATTATTCTTAAACCTATACAATTAGTCTTTGAATCATAAGTCTGTTCATACACAATATTCAACTGCTTTTTAAATAACGTAATTTTAAGGTAATAAGACAGAAACCAATTCGGACCAAATAAGGGTATATTCCTTGCTGTACGTGTACGTCTAATAGGAATTGTACATTTCAATTTATTGTAGGATTTTAAAAATGATGAGACATTACCGTTACAAAACGTTCTTATGCAAGGTAGGAATGTAAACGTTTGTAAAAGAAACCACTGAAAATGCCATTAAATGACTGAGTGGAAGTACAAAAGGTTTTCAAAAACATTTGACACTGTGTGATGTGGTATATTAAAACAATTAAAATCCATCATACATTCTTTTTTAAATGTACTGTAAATATGAATCCCCAGCAAAAGAAAACATACTTTTCAATTTGACAACGTTTGTTAACTGTGTTGTATCAAAGAGAAGGGCACAATATTATTCTACACTTTTCTTTATTCACATTAAATATACAAAAGTATTTAATGCTGAATGAAACCTTAATATATGTACAAAATCTCAGGCAAAAGCTCTAGAATTTGGTACAGGCAAATGAAGAACTGTATAGCAGAAAACGTTTGAAACTTGAAAAAATATAAAGAAAAACATTACAAGCAAGTCTGCAGTTTAACTTTATACTCTGAAATACATTAAGTCTAATCAAAATATAGACAACTTACAAAAAATGTACAAAACAGAACATACAACACCAAAACGTTGGAGATTGATTTGCAAATAAACACGAGTGCAGCAGTAGATTATTTCCCTTTACACAACAACGTCAAAATACTACATTTCTCTGAAACTGATGGTCATATTCAGATATGGTAATCAAATTGCAAAAAATGCATACACCAACCCATTTTTATTGATAACAGAGGTTCTCAGTAGCTCCTCTTATCTTTTCAACCTCTTGAAAAATAGTATACAATAATTGGGCATATGCATTTACAAGCTAAGCTTTATCCCTCAAAAAATGCACAATGACTAACAAAAATGGAGATGTGTGAGTAAGGGAGGTGTTAATGGAGACAAAAGAAAATATCTGTATATACTATACCTTTGGCCTTAGTTATGGTGAAAAGATCTTCAACTATCTGCTGCCCTTTAAACAAAGGTTGAATGGAATTCTCAAATCTTACGTAAAATGTAAATTATTAATCACCATTTTAAATGACCCTCCCCCCATATCCTGACAAACGTTTTATTTCCAAAGAGTTAAAAACACTATAAAGTTAAAAACAGACTGCAGAACCCATCCTTGTCAATTCTAATACTAAAGACTTCAAAAATGTGACAACCTTTCACCCTTCTCAAAACTTTTTTTTAACAAAGTATGGCACTAAGGAAGAGGTTGGAAGCCATTTAACACAACCATGAAGACATGCCTGACTGCTGAACTAAATGCTTAAAGAATATGGTAAAGTACCTCCATTTTTTAAGCAAGACCTGCAGAAGACATGACACTGTGGTAAAGCAAGCATAAAAGTGGTACTGAAAAAAATAAATAACATGATTTAAAACACTTCCAGTACTATACTTTAAATAAACACCAGTATAATATAAGGCTCTGTAACTTATTAAACATTTTAATTTTATTTAGAAATAGTTATTTTCATTACTTGTCCTGAACTACTACTCCAACATTATTTCTTTTACTTTAAGGGACCAGGCAAGTCTTTAAGGTGCTTAGGTTGTGGAATTACAACAATGGAGTCTAAACAGTTTTTTGATGTGCAAACTAAAGCTTCCACTAAGGAACCATCATTAATAGAGTTGTGAAGGCGATGGCCCAGCTCTGCTTTCCAGTGCAATAACATGAACTGATCTCTTCCGAACACAAAGATAATTTCTGCGGTGATATAGATCAAGAGAAACCGAATAACAGATGTCATTTTATCACTTGAAAATAAAAAGTCCCGCACAGAGTCTTCCCAATTTATTATGTGAATATGCTTGTTTTTTTTCCAGTTTAACATCCGGAATGAGGAGCATGTTATCTTTTCTGCAACGTTGCTCTCAATGGCAAAATGAAGTTCAGATCTTTCTTCAACTGCAGTATCCGCCAGGACTAAAGGGAAAAACAATACATTTAGACATAGCGTGGCATTACATTCTATTTCTGCTGAATTTAGTAGTTTAATGATTATCACGATCAGCTGATTATGACATATTAATCATGCAACAGAAATATCATGAAGCAAACTACATACAAAACCAGAGCAGGAATTAGATAGTGATATCATGGATCAGACTGCAGGCAAAGCTACTGTCATTAAGTGGGTCATGACAAAACAAGACAGTTTTACTTATGTATACAAACTAAAAGGCAGTCAATGAAAGAAACATTTCACTTAGCTAAGTTTAAAAAAACAAACAGATTTCCTCTTTGCACATTTAAACAAACATTTATCACAAAAGGTTTTGGCAATTTTACTTTCTATATTTTAAATTAGGAAAAAAGATCTTGACTGTACATAAAAACAAACGCACATAATTACTGTTTGAACAAAATGAGAATATCTACGTCCAGTCGCACATAATATATTTATGTGTAACCAACCATTTTCTAATAAATTATCTTGAGGGCAATAGAGCCTATCCAGGCAAGCAACAGGTGCAGGGCAGGGCAGGACACACCTTGGACAGAATGTTAGTCCATTGAGGGCACTACACCAGAGACACTTTTACCAAATGCCAAATGACCTACCACAATGTCTTTGAACTGTGGGAGGAAATCAGAGCACCCTCTGGAAACTCACACAAAGATGTGGAGAACATACAAACTCCATGCAGATAGCACCCTAGGAATTAAACCTAGAGCCCCAGTGCTGAGAGTTAGCAATGCTAACCACTGCTCCACCCCATTTATGTATAATAAATTACAACATTTAAACAATCAACAATATTACAAAACAACTTGTACAGATATTAAAGAAAGAACTGTGAACTGTTTACTGAGGTGTGTCACAGAAATTTCAACTTCCAGTCCAGCCTTAAAATCTATTCTTGCTCAGAAATCTGAACAATGGCTGCAATGACTGAAGTGCTTCAGGTGTACACACAGCTCCTAAATTCACCTTGGTGCTTATGAGGTTTATATCTACCTTTCACTTTAAACCTACATCTGCTATGATCCAATCCTGTTCACTGTCACATGTTTTGTAACTGAGGATTAGTTAAACTATTTTGCCAGCATTGACAAACAAAATATTTGTCTGAGCTCGACTGGTGTTTCTAGGTGCTTCAGTAATGAGCTAATGCATTTCAGTGGCTTCTTTATAACAGTGGTTCCTATCACTGGTCCTGGAGGAAGGTGTCCTCTGGTTTTTGCTCCAGCTGAGTTCTTAATCATTATAATTGATTCACTATGTCTTTCTACTTTTAATTGATTCAGCTCTTAACAGGTCAAATGGGACTTGTAATTACTATTAATGCTGGAAAAATTTTGAGTTTCAGTTTTTTCTCATTCAGGTGTGTTGCTTTAAATGCAACTAACTGGAGATGCTGTGTAAAGTTCTGTAGTGTAAAACAAAGTTGTTGGTAACAAAACAAACAACAAAATTGGGAGCCTCCACTCTACTGGCCTTTGAAATGCTACATGAGATCAAACAAATGGTAGGAAATCTGACAATAAGATGTTTTATTAAAAGATAAGTGGAACAGGTTATTAAAAAACAATCATGTCAATAAGCATGGTATAATATTTTAAAGATGTCTAACAGATAAAATTTAAATATGGTTCTGAGACATTAGGATTCTGAATACTTGATCAAGATATCCAAAAGGTACAATGTCTGTAAAGAAAGTTATTTGATAACATAGTAAAATCTATGATCTCCTTATTTCCAAAGCAAAATCGATATTTAAAATGTCTGGTAGGAATTGTTTGGATGTTTGCAAGGAAGTAAACTGTAAAAGTTCAGAGATTTAACTACCACAAAGATTAGTGTTTATCATTTGTAAAAATATTAGATTATATTTTGATATAATATTTGATATATATATATTTGATTATATTTTATATATAAAGAGGTAGATATTCAAGCATCAGATGCACAAAACAGTAAAATAAGCTATGATATTGATATTGTTACCTCCAGAAACTCTGCCTTTATGGCATCAAACTTCACTTTTTCATGTACTGCTCTCGCTGTGTTTGATCTTTCAAAGGGTTCTGAAAAAAAAGAAGGTGGAAGAAAACGTATTATAGTCAGTACTGGTCCTGTTCTTATAATTGGAACACTTCATACTAATTTGAAAAGAATGTTAATCTAATAAGGGCATATTTTGGACAAGGTACGTGGTATGAGCAGGTCGCTGCGTCAGCATGTGTAGACTGCAAAGGAACAAGTAAAGATTCATTCTATACTGAAAAGAAAAGAGACAACGTTCGGCTGTGGAGCTTTCTTCAGTTGTCTTCTTTTGAGTAAGGAATAAACCTTTACCTGTTTCTTTGACAATCTTTCATCAATAAATGCATTTATATTAATATATATGAATGTATAAGAATGAAGCAGTTATCTTCACATATTACACTTCTTAATGTCTGTGTGACGTTTGTGACACATACCCCTGTTCAACCTTAAGAAAAAAATCTTTCTAGTAATTACTCCAATTGAAGCTCAACCTTATAAACCTTGTGAAGTTAAAATATGTAGTAGTAAAGTCATACAGACTGTCCAAAGTGAACAAAATACAACAGAAAAGGATCTCAAATGAGCCACAAACACACACAATATTAGGATTTACATATGCAATTAACATGTCTGCTATACAATAGGATGGAAATGTCTTATTCTCCTGTATCATACATCCTTAACTTAATCAGTGGTATTTAATACTGCTTACAGAAGACAGAAAAGTATTTTCAGAGCACTGTTTTAGTAAAAATTTACAAAAAATGAAAATAATTGTCCTTAATTTCAATCAAGTGGTTTACTGTAAGGCTGATATAAACATTGAATATCTTTTCATTTAATTTTCTTATTTCTCAAAATTAAAACTGATCAGCAGCAGGGCAAACACTAAACAATGACAACTGCACAGCATTAGCGTGCATAAAAACGACCCTAAAACAAGAAGGTGGGAATTTTAATCGGAATTAATTATAGCCCAACTTTATTGCGACACTTTGATATAAATAATACCACAATCTGCCTCCTTGCAAATCTGATCTTCCTAGGAAGTAAATCTACTTCATGTTAACACACAAACACAAATCACTTCATTATAAAGAACCTTTTTGTATTAACAAAATCATAAATTGTACTTCTGGCAAGAGTGAATAAACAATTACAAAGCTAATTAAGTTGCCTACTTTACATCATCAGTAAAAGGAACCGCAGCATAACAAATTGACCCTAAGACTTTTAAATATAGGAAGACATAAGCTCCTAGAACTCAGCTTTTCATGATCTTCAAAACATTCACACTTAAATAAACTTTAAAGACATTTAGAATCACAAATTGATTTTAATGTATCCATACAATTGTACTTGATTGTAGACAATTGTATTTTGGCTCACGGCTACAAATGCTGCAGTCTCAGACAAGGGAGAATGGGGATGTTTAGGCAAAATTCCAACCCACTCCCATTGAGCCACTGCTCTTTAGACATGTCACATTTTATTATTGAAAGCATAATTGTAACAAACAGCTTTTGGCCAGAACAAAGCTGTGGTGCCTATAATGTGTTAAAAGAAAATGTAATCTTGACTAGGAAACTGTCTTTTATAGAATCAAAATCCCATTGCTGCCAAAAACTATAAAACAATTATATTTTCAATATGAAAATATAAATTGCTGTACAAAGCCACTTACATTATGCTTTGCTCTAATATTTTCACACTTTTTAGATACAAAAACAGTTTCGTGGCAACCTTTTAAAAGAACATAAGCTATTTCACTTCATGTTAACAGTTAGTTCTGAATGATCTGCATTTTGAAGCCTTTTGGATTAATGAAGGTAAATGTAATGACAAGGAACATCTGCTCATGAGTCAATTAGGAACAGGTAAAAGTTTTGGTTGTGGAGCTTTCTTCAGGTGTGGAAAGCTCACACCTGAACCTGAACACCACACCTGAAGAAGACTCCACAACCGAAACGTTGTGTCAGTTTTCTTTTCAGCATGGAATAAACCTGAATAAATCTGTTCATTTTCAGCCTACGAATACTGATGCAGATACCTACTTAAACTTAATGAATCAATTAAATATGTATTAGACATGCGATGGATTAGTTACTACAAGACTATCTCACATGGTTTTACCTAGGAGTTTTTGTGATCAGGTCTTTTAAAAGTCTGTTCAATGTTAAATATATCGCTACCTAACAAGCTAGTTTTTTTCTCATTCATTTTAAACTATAACACAACAATAATGGAGGCCTAGAGTAACTTACTGATGTTCATAACATACCATAGTATGATTAGATTGCATCAAAATTATCTGAAAGCATTTCCACAGCAGTGTATACAAAATTAGTGCATGCAATTCAAAGTGCCCACAAAGTATGCTAAGCATAATTACAATTCAGGATTTAATTTGAAAGTAAATATAAGCATAAATTCATAAAATACACTGAGAAACAAATTGGGATACTGCACCTTCAACACATATGTACTTCTGCTTCCACTCTTTACTGTTGGGTCTTGGCAGAGCTTTGGCTTCACGGACAGAAATCATGTATTTTTCCCAACTGGAGGAGAAAATGGGTTATCAGTCGAACATTGCATCAGAATTTTTGTATTTTTCTAACAAAAAAACATTATAGTCTTATTAAGCGATGCAGTGCTTAACACAACTGCTTTAGCAAAATGCCCAACTATAAAAATACAATTATGTAGAATACATCTACAAAATAAATTAATAATAAACAACTTTAGATTTTAAATTAACAAAATTATAAAATATTCTGTATAGCATTGCTAAAAAGTTGTTTTACAATTTACATCTTACGATAACTACTGTCAAGCCTTCATACCACCTGCTTCAGCTGCCAATTTGTAACACAGGGTACATATACAGTATATTGAACATCAAAAGAAACATCATTTACATATACTATATACAACATTCTATTATGAGGACAAGTCTTGTGGCAGTTACACTGATATTTTAGTGAACAGACATGACACAGCTAATTCATCACGCTGAGTAACATTTGCCGTCATCGAGGTTGATCAGCAGGGGTCTACTGTGAAAGTTACAGACAAGTAATGTGTGGCCATGAGTGGAAGCAATGCAAGGTGTATCTGAGATGTATGCATTTTGGGATTGTATTCCATTCCTCCCACAAAGCCCGAACCAGCATGTTCTTATTTACTAGTGTTCAAGCCCTAGACGTTACGCCATCCCAGTTCATCCCACAAATGGGGCACAAGTCGAACAAATAAGGCAACTGCAGCATAAACATCACATTTTTATCTCACAAGAAAGTCACTGTTACAGGAACACGTATGCATACACAGCTCCCCCTGAAAAGCCTGGAAAGAACAGTGAAAACACTGCAGTTCTTTTGGATCACCACAGTACTGTCTTTTTTCTTAACTGTATGTTTTGTACACTAATGATTGTAAGGCCAAACATAGCCAGACATCTTAAGCATTCAGATGACATAGCCCTGGTCAGCTTATTAAAGAACCCAGAACATTATCATGGGCCCATTCTATACATTTTTGAATGAAGTGATGAATTTACTTTGCAGTTGAATGAAAAATAAAAACTCATCATTGATTTTGGGAAACATGTAGTGCACCTTTAACTCAGCATAATAAATTATCAGACTGTAGATGTTTGTTGATGATTAAAAGTATTTGGTTCTGGTCATAGATAATTAAAGATGGGACAAATGTGAGACCTTTTACAAAAGGTGCAAACAAATACTTTTTTCTAAAGAAGAATAAGTTCTCATTTTTAATTTATTGGAAGTGTCTTAACATACTGTCTTAGTTATTATTATATATTGGTCTGGTATAGGTACAGCAAAATGTAATAATCTGAGGAAATACTCCATACTCCATACTCCAGAGGTGTAACATTAATAGACTTAAGAAATATTTTATTTTCTCTGCAATTGAAGTCACTTCAATAATATAACATTTGTCAAAAGTTTGTTCTGAACTCTGCTCTTTCTTAATGATATCTGTTTTTGTAGTATTGGACACATTTCTTCGAGGGGGTAATAAAGCTTAAATGGAATCAAGCATTAGTCCAAAGAAAGTCTGACCCAATCTTCAAAAACTACGGATCATGTGCTCTATATCAAGAAAAACATAGGTTTATCTCTTAGGCTGCTGACCTGATGGTTTGAAAGCTGACAGTGGAGCTAGAATACTGAGTTCTGGAAGTATGTAATACTCTATTTAAATTCACAAACACCCTCACTCTCCCATTAAGCCAAGGCTTCAGACATAGCTGACACAGACACAGTGTAAAATAAATACACTTGGATCTCATCACATCCAGTGTTCACATACAATTTGGAACTCCTCATATAAAGAAGCCATTTCTCAAGTCTCCACTGGCTCTGCCAAAGGCCGAATGTGAAAATGCCACCTGCTGCTGTCCATCACTGCAGCAATGTGTAACTAGAGTCCGGAATGGTACATGAGACACTCTGATTGCGTGTTACATGCGCAAAAACAGCTTTCATTTTCAGACACATATCAACCACTCTTCGGTGTAGAGCGGCTAAAGCTCATAGATAAACAAGGATTAAAATACTGAATTGAAATTCTGTTGCTAAAAAATATCCTTAGAAATTAATTCAGTATACCAACCTCAATTTCATATTCCATTTTTTTGGTTTGGTTTTTATTTACTCATTTATTTCTTACTCATTCACAGAATATTGCTAGGCTGTTATAGTAGAAATTACGAGCAGGTGCTTAGCATTAAATGCTAAAGGATTACAGAACATTAAAGCTACTTTGGTGAGGAAGCTGAATTACTTAGCTATGTGTTGTACTTAACCAAGAACTGTTAGGAAGGTGAAAATCCAGTGGAAAATTGGGGGTTAGCGAGGGAAATATTACATTTTCTCAGTAACCCCAGGCCTATAATGGAATTAAAGGGTGTCAAAGGATTACTAGTGTTTGCACTGTTGACAGCAGTACAGACTTCTGTAAGCCCACTATCAGACTAGAGCTATTTTTAAACATCTAGAAAGGATAAAACAACCTAAAGCCTTAGTCCTTCACACTGATAAAAAACAAATTGAGAATTATTAAAAGCTTTAAAACATTCTTGCTTTTCCTGCTAATGCCACAGTTATGATTAATCAGAGATGACTTTAAGAACCATAATAAAATGCCATGGAGCAATTTAGGCATCTGACCAAGCTGGAAATGTTCCCCTCTACCAGTAACTCCCTTTGGAGAAAGACAGATTTAATGTTTACATACTTCTTGCTTGTAACAAACAAGCTGAAATATTTATGCCCTGTCAGACATAAAATACGTAGGAGAAGATGAGGATAACATGGCCATTAAAAGGGTGCAAAATATTTAGACACCAGTCTTAACACAGTGGTACTGAAACCAATTGTAGATTGAACACTAAAACATGTTTAATGATCTATATTGTATATATTTTTTTCAGGATGTCCTGCTTGATCCAGAATTATTTACCAGAATTACATTTTGCTCATGTCTAAAGAACTTACAAAACCTTTGCCAGGACTGTCAGTACATCTTTTGACTACCCTGTTTGTTAGTTATTTGTATTAATTTGGCAGACAAATGTACGTTAAGTGGCTTACAAGGACACCATTACTTCCTATATAAGTATAGATCTGTGATCTGGTTTCCCTAAGCTTAAAGCCTTAGGTTTAGTGTGGTAATAATATCTCAAACTCACACCTATGTCTTATGAAAACAGCATACCCGCATATAGCTTGAAATTACATCTTTCACAGACTTTCAAAAGTCGCCATTTAAATTGGCTCATGACACTAAAAACTTGCTTACTTGAAAACTGTCGCATAGTATTTCAAGAAGCCCAAAAATAGGTCTCCCAGCGTTGATTCATTCTTTGAAGTGTAAGGAGGAATGTTTCTAGGTCCTTCGGGCACAAGGTGTATATCCATGGAAGGATTAAAGCATTCCTAGAGAGAATATTTTTAACACGATTATTAATGCGACTTTGAATAAATGGCTTAGAAATACATTTTATCTGAATTTCTAAATCTTAAGTACAGTAGAAAACTTACTGAAGATTTAGTTTAAGAGTTCACCAAGAAAATTAAGCGAATGTGTTTTGAGCATATTACATTGAAAAAAATAGAGTGAAAAGAAAATCAAGCTTTTTGGACATTCTCATCAGCATTATGTTTGGCATAAAAGATGAAGCACATGCTGAGAAAATATTTATGACCATGTGTACCATTTTTACAAGATACCTGTTTCTTTCTGGCAAGAAGTTCCAAGCTTAGCCAGTAATGGACAGTTCAGCATGACAATGCATACACTAACATAGACAAAGGAATGGTTAACTTCAGACAAAATACATATTATCAATATCCAGATCTTGAACGTTTGCAATGCTAGCTCAAAATTGCAGGTCACTAACAGAAACCAAAGGATCTGAAGGAAGCAATTCTACATAGAGGAATGTTCTTAAATTTTCCCTCCGTCATCCCAGAACCTCAAAGCAGCACACTATAAGAGGCACCTAGCCAGTGTAATTCCTGGCAATGGAGGATTTACGAAGCACTAACTACTGGGGTGTGAATAAATACGAGCATTGTGTTTTATGAATTTTATTTAGAACTGTTTATGACTTTTTACCTCTGTGTAATGCTATGAGTTCACGGTATAATATTTTTAGAACATTTTAAGCAAGAATCAATACCTAATATGTTATTAGATGCTTATTGTTTCTGTTTCTGTTTTATCAGGTGTATGAACGAATCTGGATAGGCTCTGCAAGCTAAATTCTATATTAAGACTTTAATTACTTCAAACACACTGCAGCTTTAGAAAAACTGGAATGGAAACCCGTAGCGTGCAGTGCCAGCTGAGAGCCAATACTGTCTATTTAAAAGCAGTGCGATAATCTCTCCAAGAGATGCTATTATTTCAAACAAAAACTCATTCAATCTGCCTAAAAGTTTCCAAGATGGTTGCCACCATGTAGAGACTAATCTCAATCAAGATCAGGGGGAAAGTTACACGTAAAAGCATAGGAAATCAACCTTGCTAACAAACAGCAGATTGTTAAACATAGCTAGGAGTACAGTAGCTGGTTTTACATGTCCTCAAAAAAGACAAATACAAACCTGTCACATTCAACAAAGCAAAAAAAATCTACAACTGCGACTGAAGTCCTGTGAGACACCATATGAACTTCTTATTGACACATTTCAAATCTAAGGAGGAAGACTTACTGGGTATTCCCTCTGAAGACAAGGAATAACAGGTTCAGGCAAGGCTGGAAGAAAATGTTCCAATATGAATAAAACATACTTTTAAATCAAGCACTTTTCAGAAAAACAAAGGAGATATTGTCAAAGTAGCTACAGATTTGTTGCACCAAGAACTAAATGCTTAATTGATAAATCTCCCATACTCACTCTGTAGATAGTGCAAAACCATCAGTACCAAGGAGTAGCTGCTCAAAGTCCCACGGCTGGCATCGTTGATTCCATGGTGCCTGGCCCATTTCTTTACCACAAGGATAATTGGACGAACTCTATTCTCAACTGCCAAAATAACAAGAAACAATGATCTTCCAGTAAGCATGGTGAAGTACTATGCACCACCTCCAGCTCAGTGGAGAATTTCAAAAACAATCACAGTAGGGATCTTGGATTTCAAATGGTATAAATTCTTCTCGTAAGCAACAACGGTCTTTCACGGAATTTATATTCATACCACTTCTAGTAAAGTGCTCTGCTGACGTTCGTGTGTACACTTCAAAAACATAAACATCCAACAGAATAAGGCTTTTCCAATATAATAATTTCCAATAGAAATAGGCTTTTCCAATATTCAAAATATATGATAAGATTTTCCGTACACTAATTTCTTGTTGATCACTTATACCCCATAGAATTTTTTAACAAGAACATTGATTTGTGGCAGAGACCTGCAATCTATTCTCTGTACCATAAACCCTCAGATTCCAATGAACTTTTTTACAATGGCCATTTAAATACAATTCATTGATAACTCTATTAATGCTCAAACTGGCATTAATTGTTTACACATTATCACAACACTGACATCTGTAGTATCTCTCAATTGGTGTGCAAATGCAGAAGCAACCAACTACCTTATAAACAATAAGTTAAAAATGCAGCACTTTTTACTGAAATTTATCATCACTAATCACTAAAGCCACCCAACCTGGAATCACTGTTCATCTTCTTTATATCTTGGCTCATGTCTACAGACCTTGTATCTGCACACAATGGAGCATAAGGAAGTCTAGGCAGGCTCTTTTGATCTGCCAATCTGACTCTTATGTTTTAATATGTCACTGGGATGTACAGGAGGTTCAGCGTTCCCTGGAGGAGAGGTGCATGCCTCATTGATGATACTGCACGCTTGTAAGCATCAGGGAGTTCGCTGGACTTGCTGTTAATGTCCTGCCACTTGAGGAATTCCTTTCACAGTTAGCTAGTGACTTGACCTGGGCTGACAACCGTGATCATAGATGTTGGCACGTGCTGATGTGAGATCTATGATCTCAGACCTTTACTCCTTGAGACGCTCAAGAGTCCCAAAACATAAGCTTTTGAATACAATATCTGTTTTATTCAAAAATCCTGTGGGCATGAAGAAAGAAAACGTATAATCACAAAGAAAATGTTAGGCAGGCTTTGCCAGTCTGTATTATCTTAAATACAAGAGTTATATCTCTCACAAAACTGAGGTTTTACCTAAATGTAATAATAGCATTTAGCTACAAGATCTAGTTCTTAATTAACCTTACAATAACCTCTGAAACTATATCACTAAAATGTCTTACAAAACACATTTCACTTACTGTATGCATAGGTTCTCAGAAGGAATGTGTTTCTTATTCCAACGACGTTGTTTACATTCAAGTCAAACTCCACTCCGCTGTAGGGTAAATGAGGTTGTTAATTTAGCAATCAATGGTTAATAAAAAAAGAGTGTAGCAATAATTATATCTCTTAAGCGTTCAAGGTAGTGACCTATATTAATAGTTTCAGCATCACGCAACAAAATGTGAGATATTTGATTTAAAAAAATTAAGTCATTTTTACACAGCTTAAATGTTATAAAAACAAAATACAGACCTTCATTCTGTAACTAAAACACAACACATCAATTCACTGACGATAGACACATTTACTTGGTCCCAAGGTTTTTAAAGCAGTCATTTGCCAAGATGGATTTTTTTGGTTCTATACTATGGCTAATGCAATCACACTTCATGGCTTCTCAATTTGGAAATCTTTGCTGTAAGTTTTATTATAGCCAAGAGCAAATAAAGTCATGAGGCTATTAGTAATAACAACTTGTTTTATTAATGCTAGGTGCTCTCTTTAATGCTTTAAATGCTCTCTTTAATGGTTGACAAAGCAGTTCTATTTGTCTGCTTCTGAATTATCATCTCTTTCTGTAAGTTAACCACAGCTTATTACAATGGTTTAAGTTTAATCACTTTTGTTCAACTTAGGAATACTGTATATAGTTAGCACTATATACAGTGCACACCTGAAGAAGGCTCCACGGCCAAAACGTTGTGTTCTCTTTCTTCTTTTTTTCAGCATGGAATAAACCTATTACTTGTTCCTTTGCAGCTTACGCATGCTGACGCAGCTACCCACCTGAACTATAGTTAGCACGTCTACTAAGCTCAATAAAAGGATGTCAGAGCAAGATGAAATCATGCAAGATGTGTGGTAATCAACTCAGAAGTATCATCAAAAGCTGTTTGAGCTGGAGTATTAGTGTGTAAAATGAAAGAAGAATCTCCATAACATGAAACAAGCAAAAACTGAATAACACATAAAAACAGAAAAAAACAATGATCAAAATCATATGTAAGATTTATTAAACAGAAATCCTAGCATGAACAGCTGCCTTTCTGAAATGAACTTAATGACAAGATAAACAGCATTTTAGACTGTCACGTCATTTACATTAGCCCAAACTGAGTTTAAATGTTTTGCAAGGAATAATATTTTAGCTTGTCTAAAATTTCCTTCAAACATTTGCCCTTGCAATATTTTCAGATCCTGCATTAAAAGTAAGCTACTCATCACTATTTTTTACATAATTCCAGGAAGTTCCACTAGTAAAGCAGGCATTATCCTAAGTACAGCTATTTACAGTGTTCTTATCTAAAAGACGTCTAATCTTAACTTAAGCCATGTAATAAAAAAACAAACTGACAATTACTTACACTCACAAAAACAAAAATTATTATTCTTTTGATCATCCTACAATGTTTTTTTTTGTGGATTTATAAGCTCAAATTAACATTTTGGTTTAATGTGAAAATGACATTCTACACTTTGGTTCTGTAAGAAAGACAGACAGGGTTAAACTTGTCTACCCCTATATATACACCCTTCATTTTCCATTCAAACAATTTAGGGATATTGATATTAGTAGAAATCAAATCAGTTCACCCAAAGTGCAGACTAAATACTTAGCAAAAACCATAAAATACAGCAATACTTAAGTCTTTGGGTTTTATATATTCATAAGATATTCATCTGTATGCTGAAGAAGCACTTGGGCATTAAAAAACTATACAATAATTAATGTTTTTTTCTGTTAAAAGATTCAATAATAATTCATCAAATTTCATACAGAAACATGCTTTTTCTCCACCAGCACAAATGAGTGGTGCTGCTGCTCACTCAATTGTGACAGTGAGTCAGTGGGGACTCACAGCACATACAGTTTTTATCTAATTGTGTCCATAAATTGAGTTTTATATTGATCAATTCATGGTGTTAATTTTAAAATAACACATTTGCTGATAATTATTTCTCTGTCATAACTGGCTCATTTCTACCTTCACTTTTCTTTTATGGGTAAACCACTTCCACAATATTAAACAAATCGATTAAGAGAAACATGGTAGACTGTTACTCAAAGATTTCTGCCAAAGCCCCAGCTGACAAGTAGAAAGTCTTCATGCATGACTCTTGCTAGCTTTCTCTTATACCTTAATGTTAGAATTTATATTTTTTCATGGAGATTCCGCAGTGTTACTGAACCATAAAATTATATTCAACTGCCAGCTGTCATTTGTGATTACATCATTCTAGAAGACAAGGTTTTCTCCACCCACACAATGCAACTACACAGAAAATGACATTCAGCACCTACCTGACTTTATCCCTGAATTTCAATATGGGCACTTTTGCTCGAATAAGCTGAGGTCTCTCAATATAAGCTGTTAACAGAAGGATAAAGCTTTACTTCTGGGAATTATAGAAATATATTTTAAAATGAGCTATGAAATCTCATTTCCAAGATACTCTTTTGATGTGGCAAAGTACCCATGTGTTTAGACAGCTAATAAAACGGTCTGTTTTGTGTAAAGGAGGTACCTTGTGTAAGGGTTCTCAGAATCCTACATTTAGACAATATACTAAGTGAATACAGAATATGAATGACCATTGGATAAAAAGGTGAAAAAGATAGGAAAAGCTATTGATATTCAAGCATAAACTTGGCAGCTGTAACACTAGTTCCCTCTAGAGGCTAACACAGAGATTTAAGATTATTATGCAGGCACTGGAATAGATACATACAGTGTATGCCAAGTTTATTCAAGGAAGTCCTTGAACTGACTAAAGTAAAACCTGGAGTTCTCTACCTTCTTTGATAAGTACATTATCACTTTAGATGGTTCACTCTGCTACATATGTTTTTTAATTTGGGTCTTAAAAATAACTGCAAAATTAATAATGAATAACTCAAAACTGAATACATCTTTTTGGAGTTGAACAAACAAAAAAAGAAAATAACCCCAGGAGATGGAACACTTACTCAGCCTGTAAAACAACTTCTGTACAAGACTGAGTATATATACAGCATCTGTTCTCTGGTTCATCTAAAAAGAAAAAAAAGTGAAATCAAAGCAATTTCAATTCAAAGAAACAATTTCCAGTATAGAATGAAAGCACAAAAATGTACATCTGAGAAAAGCAAAACTTTCTATGTCTCAATAATATTTTGGATTTGTTCAGGAAAGCAAAATACATGTGTCTATGAATTTAACACTATAAATGTGTTCCAAATGTTCCACATTACATTCACAACAGTTAGCTTACCGGTCCCTCTTGAACAACTAGGCAAAGATCTGCATCACTACTTCGACTGCCAAAACCATTGAGGGAAGACCCAGCCAGATACACCCGAGAATCTGAAAGGAAAGTAAGGACATACTTTTCTCACTAATTACTTAGGTTTTCAGCATCCAAAGTGTCACTTCACTAATGGCTGGGAGGCACCAAAGATATGAACTGAGATTTCAAAAAGATTTTTTCAGATGATATTAAAAGCAGATCACTAAGGCAAGGTCAACATCAAATTTCACAAATATGTTAAATTATATACATTTGAAAGCATAAATTCTAGGTTTCATTTATGCAAATTTTGTAGCTTCTGCAACAACTCTAGCTGTCTTTGTAAACATCTGGGAAGGAAAAGCTTTTGAGTACGAGTAATTTTAACTATGTGCTGACTCAATTTTATTACTTAAAACTAGTTTTGCTATTTATAATCGCATTAGTTAAAGTGACATTTTATTAGATAACACTTTCACTGCAAATGTTGCAAAACCTATGATAGAAACATGATATAACTAGTGGAACTAGCTATGTCAGCATGGAAATCCAAAGGAAAAAAACAAGGGCTTTAGTGGATAGAAGTGCATACTGCAGGACTGCGATTTCTGTGTATTACTTCGAAGTGCAAGGCAAAACAGGTGAAGAACCGCAGATCAAGTGACCGCTATTTTCAACCTGGGGCCACTTTCATCATAAACAGTTTGTCGAGAATTTCACAGAGCGAGTTCCTGTAGTTGGGTTGCCATGCACAATTCTTCCCATCAGATCTGGCAATACATGTATGCAAGTCCAGAGGTGCAAAGAGCACGGGTAAGAACTGTGATCTGGTCAATGTACTTCTTATTTCTGTGGGTTCACAGTGCAGGAACAATTCATCACACTAACCTTAGATCAAAATATACCACTGTACTTTACATTGACCACTGTAACTGAGAAGGGGACACAGCAACATCTTCATGTATTCCAACCAAGCAGAAACTGGATTTTATGTAGGCAGAAAGTGTGCCCCTCTTTTATCACACTAAGCAGGGACTGGTGACTCCAAGAAATAAGAATTTCAGGTGTGGGAAAGACCCCCTTTCATCAAAAGTCCATCAGACCACCATGAGTCCCTCTTACAAGCTAACTGTCTCAACCATGGGGGGCTGCATGCAGACAGCTCCAGGATTGACACAGACAACATGCCATGGTGGTTAGGCTCACCTGTACCCATGCCCAACAGACACATGGATAGGGAATCAGGGAGAACACGCATAGGAACAAACACAAACAGTGCAACAAGGATAACACAAAGCAAACTAGAGCTGAACTATAATTTTATTGCTCTTTCTGACCTTTATTAGAATTGAAATTTTTGAATACCTACATCACTCATTATTATTCACACTTCTTGCCTTGGAGGCAGTATCACATGAGGCAAGTTTCCTACATGGCTCTTTGGCTGATAATATGCCTGTACCATGTTGCTGCCGTGCCTGTTCGAACACAATACCCCCTGGCCACTGGATACTGATAATGTATTTTCCAAATGTGGACATGCGGAATGGGCTGTGCACACAGCTCTAAATTAGAACCCTGTTTAAAAAGGCGCCGCTGCCTGAGGCAAGAGAAGAAGGGGAAAAAAAAACTTTCATTCTAGATCATTATATTATTAGGCCAGTTTGTACTATTGATGTGCAGTTTCTCAAGGACAAATGCCTTTTAACATCTCAGACTGATGATCCACACTCTTGCAGTCCTATCTCCTGCAATGTCACTCCTGTTCTACAAGTCATGTGCAGAGCTGCATTAGTATTTAACACATACGCGGAATGAGTCTCTGGATTTCCCACTGTAGCTGTGCTCGACATAGTTCCTTCTTCTCTAGATCATCATTCTGCTGTTGGCAAACCTGAAACAGCTCCAGGACCTGCTGGCTGAGCTGAAAATAAGACAAAGCTTTAAACGAGACTTCTGAAAGTATTCACCCCCTTCCAATAAAGTCCTAGATTGCTGAATAAAGAGTGATGTTTTTGGAGTGAACATTTTTCATTTAAAGGCTCACATTAAACATTTTACAGATGAAAGAAGTTAAATGTCAGTGAAAACTGCAAAGAAAAACAATCAAAAACAACCATTCCTAACCACCTTGTTAAAGAAGGGATGAAATCTGCACCACCCCAGTATACAAAGTAGGTAGAAATGTAAGCAAAAAGATGACTCACAGCTGTAAATGCTGTAAACAAAATGCTTCCATCAAGTAATGTTGCAGAACTGTGAATGCATACACAATCAAGATCATTTACAATCTTTTTTTACTAATATTTAAGTTCTTTCAACCATACAATTCTACAGTTTGAGAACTCAAGTTGTGATCAAAATATTTCAAACACCTCGTGCAAATGTAATGCAAATCCATCATGTTTCTCCAAAATACTCAAATGACATAAGCAGATTTAAAATAATTTATTATTTTACGTCTTTTATCAGATCTGTCAGAAAATGGCTAAAACGCGAAAGTTTGTACTGGCTGTCAGTCTTACTGGCAGTACAAGGAAAATCTGGAATGGTACCTTGTCCTGAGCAGGTGGCAGTAGGCGGTTAGTGACACTGGAACGGGGCTCACTCCTTAACGGTGGTACGCAGCCGCCTGGCTTTGGGGTTAGAGGGGACAGAGCGGTGTCTAGGGACAGGCCTGACCTGTGGCCCTCACTGCGCAAAGGCACTGCTGCTTTCCTAGCTGCTGCTGGAGAAGATGCTGGGGTGACCACCCCCAGGCAAGGACTTGGAGAGTGAAACCGCTGTCGCTTCAAGTCAGAAGGGCCATACTCGTCGCCCCTCCTCCTGAAACACAAACACAAACCTTCTCGTATTGCTGAACTCTCACTTCCTCTACAAAAGTGAGATCATTTTGTATGTGTGTGTGGGAGTTTTGCATGAAATCCAACTATTTTATTAACAATTTTAAAGAAAACTAAACTGGTATCTAGGTATCTTGTAATTAATACAGCTTTAGGCAGAATTAAACTTCTTTTTACTCATTATACACCTGCAAATCCACAATTATTGTTATTCTGGAATCTTATGCAAGGATAATTGTAACATAGTTTGACTTTGTAATACATTTCAAGAACTTTAAAAGCAATCATTAATGCTAATAAGATGTTTAGTCCTTTTTACAACAGCATAAAGCATGAAACTTACATTGTATTTTATGTGGCCAATTTAAAATGAAAATGTGATTAACCAAGCTGGATTTTCCATTTGCTTGTCAACCACTAAAGGCAAGAATGCATCTTCTGTAATTCTCAATTCTTACCAAGATTTGAAGAGATGGTCATAAAGCATAAATGTAACAATTTATGGGATTGAAAGTAACATTCTATGACAGTGGTTTAAAACTACATTATTACTTAAAGTTTTTTGTGCTGTAAACTCCTTAAAACTATCATTGTACCTACAAAAGCCACAAACACTGGGGAGGAAGAGTAAATGATAATTGATCAAAATTATAGCTGAAGATGTGAAAATGTTCAATTACTTTTAAAAATATAGTGAAAAAGACATCTTCTGAGGTTTAATTTACTATATACTTCTGATTTCCATACTGACATTTATAATTAAATCTTGTTATCAAGGCACATGTAATCCCACACAGAATCTTGTAATACAGATGTTTTAGGAGCAGGCTTAAATGAGCTTACTTTCTTCCTTGTGATATCGCTTGCACAGTGTGGACAACATGAGAGGTACTTGTTCCAGGGATCCAGTCATGAGAAGGTATTGTTGGAAAACGAGGAACAGCATTCAAGGGGATTCTGTGAAAGCTGAAAAGGTTCGAGAACTTCAGCATGTAACCCTTTTCCATAGAAAATTTTAGCAGTGTTTCTCAAACTAGGGTCCTTCCAATATGTTCCATGTTTCACCATCCTTAATGTTATACTGACCTTCCTAATTGCAATTAAAAACTGATGAACTGTTGACTGGAAAGGATGTACACATGCAGTGGTGGTTAAAACAATGCACACACTTCTTCATCCTAATTAATCTTTCATCTTTGTTCTATTCAAAACACAAAAAGTGGGGATGCCTGTAGAAATTTATCCTTCAAAACTAACACCGCAGGAAGACATCCTGTGCGTAAGAATTTGATAATGGCCATAAACACACAGGCTAAATCTAAGAAACTACTCTAAATCTAATCTAAGAAGTAACAACAGGTTTTGAATTTGAAGCACTAGCCTTAGCCCCTAAGTCCTTTGAAATGTTATAAGTAAAGGATAAACATGGCACAGACAAGAGCACAGAAAAACAGACCAGAATCAAAGAATAAAAACAACATTCAATGTTAATGTTACATGTATAAACAACAAGACTTTATTTTCATTTCTGATCACTAACAAAAAGTAATATATAAATCAGTGAGTTGCGGATTGCAGTAAAATAATTGAACAACCAGTCTTGTGTGAAATTTTTCACACTAATGTTAACTACCCCTGAATGCACATACATTAGTAAGCCATTTGAAACTAGTTTAACAAGGTATTTTTAAGCATGGACAACACATTTAGAAAAATGCATCAGGAACAAACTTAGTGCTCCATTTAATAATTGATTTAAGGAGCAACAGTCAGCAATCATGCTTCTAATTGTAGTAATTCCAGTAGGTCCTGTTTAATTCAGAACTAGATCTTTAATTATTTTTAAATTACTATTATGTTATTAATTCCTACACCACTGTTCATTATTGTGCAAAACTCTCAAACTGGCAATGTGATTTGCTTATTGCACTTACTGTTAACAGGAAAGAAATATAATCAGGCTGCCTTCATTACTGCTTTGTGTCCAGATTAATGCATGTTTTAATTTTTACCATTTCATTTTCCTTAGCACAGAACTTGTACTGCACTTCCATCTTGTGCTAGCCTGATTCATTTAATTAAATGTGCTGTACTTATGTGTCTAACCCAATGTAAAGGCCACATATATACGTAATGTGAATCACCTTAAAAAGTGACATCTGCCAAGATCTTCAGATAAGATCACTTTATTGGACAAATACAATTTCTTGTATTAGGAATTTGTCTTTTCATATACCCCAACTTGCTCTCCATGAGACACACAAACAGGGAGAGAAGCTTGGGGTCAGAGCGCAGGGTCAGCCATTTATACGGCGCCCCTGGAGCAGTTGGGGTTAAGGGCCTTGCTCAGGGGCCCCAATGGAGTAGGATTCCTCTGCCGGCCATGGGATACAAACCGGCAACCTTACAGCCGCAGACGAAGATCCTTAGCCACAGGGCCACAGCACTGTGTAATAATAACAACTTATGGTGGTGTTCAGGGCATTTGCACCAGGCTGTTAGAAACTATATTTTTAAGTATTCTAAGTCTTAACAATAGAATAATTCAAGATAAGGATAGGCAAGCACGCATCAGAATACTCACCACTGACCTCTCCATGCACCATTTGTAATGTGTAGTCTACAGTATCTGTATTTGATCTCCCAACTTTCAACAAAATCTATACCACTGCACTAAAACCAGAAACTGTACAATGTTAAATGACATTGAGTAGATTCCGATCACACAATACATTAGTGAACCTGGAACAATGTATTCATAAAGATGAACTGAATCAGGTACTTCTAGTGAAAAAAAACATTGCATACTTACTTGGAATTTCTAAAATTGTAGTCTGCTTCAATCAGCTGCTGCTGAGAGATCAGTGCAGGTGGGTTGTTTAGGGGGAGCTGGCTAAAAATATTGTTCCCTGACTGTGGTTTAGGAATAAAGGGTGGGTGACCCAGGATGGAAGAATTGGGGAACATAATCTTCTTTACTAGGCTCAAGCATTTATTCTTCTTCCTGCTTGGAATAAATGGCGGGGTTCGTATCAGACCAGGTTCCATACACTTATGCAATTTGGCACTGAAGGAAAAAAACAACTTGCCCCTGGATCAGTTAGGAGCTTAAAGGACTCAATGTTATATAAATCCAGCACACTATAAACAAAGCAATCCTATTCATTAAAACCACTATTAAAAACTGAAAATGAAAGACACTATTTACCGTCTTGTATACATAACCTAAAGGACTGTAAGTCGCAAAAACAAAAATACAAAGCATAAAATGAATATTTACTTACGACGTCTTTGTAAATGAATTTAATTGTTTTTGAAACTATCTTTTAAGAGGGTTTGGATTTTTAAAATAAAATAACCACTTTGAAAAATCACCTTTTGATCGTGAAAAGAGGAAAGCTGTTTTGAAGCTGAGGTTTCTTTACGAAAAAAAAAAAACAAAACAAATAATCCAGTACAGTATAACTTTTGTGTCTCTTTTGTGACAAAAACTTTAAAACGAAGTTGTCGCGACAGCCTAGGAAAACATTAAAGGAGGAAACTGAAATCTGAACGAGTCTCATGTAGCATTTCCTGTGTTCAGCTAAAATTGACAAACCAAAATCATCGGTTTCATTTCTTCACATCTCTTCTTCCCATTCAAAGGAGATGAAGAATTTTAAATCACTTACAATTGCATTTAACACTAGCTCTGTACAGCCCACAACGCTGAATACTATACATTCATAATGGCTTGCTGTTATTACTACATAATGAAAGTATTGTTTCATTGTACAGAAAAGACTACTTTTTTATGCCCAAAGGAAAACGAATAAAACATTTCAAAAGTTCTTCTCGGGATGTGCGCAAGTTTTAACGTAAAAAATAATTCCTGAATTCCGTTTACCAGAACAAACACATGGTGAAACTTACCAAAAGTAATCACTCGTGTGCTAATAAAAGCTTTCACTTTTTAACCTTTTCTTTGCTGTTAATATTTTGTAACGCATGGAATTATCCTGCTTTCCCAAAACATGCACTTTTCTTTTCCCCATTTACAATCCGTAAAAGAGAGCACTTCCTGACTGCGTCAGGGTGTACAGTTTTAATTCCGGGTCACCTGTGTTTCGCACTACCGTACTATCAGGTGGAAAAGCGTATTATGCTTTTTTTAATAGTGGTCCGTAACTTAGAGATACATGTACTGTACGTTTGTTCTTATGTAATAATCGGCCACTGATATTCTTGCTGTGTTAATAGAATACACGCATACGACAGGCAAATCGATCGTGAATAGTTAACATTATTAGGTATCACTTAAACACAAAACATAGTAAGACACGATTGAATATAGCAAGATTGCATAAACTCGAAGGTAAGACGTACTGTAATGACTCAGATACAGTATGTCTTTGAAAATAATCGTAATTTAATATATCTCTGCAAGTTTAGAGATGCCAAACACGGTTAAGCAAACAAGTGACCGCTATCGTTCCACTAACTAAAGATTTTTCCGTGTATTTTTAAGGAATTTTCCTATACAGTGTTTTAACCACATTCTCTTATTTCGTTTGCTAATTTCGTAAGGCCATGTGGGTTTGTTAATGACGATGTTTTAACACGACGTGGGCACTACTACAAGTGCAGTAGTGGTTACAGCTCTGGACTGAAAGGATTGTGGGTTAAAACTGGTGAGACGCATCCACTCACGGTTAGCCTACCAGCATGTCTTTGGATTGTGGGAGGAAACCCACATGAACACGAAGAGAGCATACAATGTCCACGCATATAGCTCCCCAGAAATTGAACCTGCCACGCAGTAGTGCTAACCACTGTGCCACCATGCCACCTACGTAGGAAACAAAAAGTGCTATGTAAATCTATGGACAGTATTTAAATTGAACTTTTTCTACAGACTGTTGTCTGTACTGTGTGGGAAATAGAAACACTGTGACCGGGC